ACACACACACACACACACACACACACACACACACACACACACACACAGACACACACACACACATGCAATGCTAAAACCTTAAAAACACTCCTTACTATCATCAAAATATTTTTCGTGTATTCTTGTTGTTGCACGTTTTCAATTTTCTATCCCCTCGCATCGATTGTTTTTCGTCCCTGAAGCTCTGCCCCTTTCCACTCGTTTTCCATTCTCATCCTCTGTCGGACAAGAGAGACCTATTGGCATTAGTTGGACGTTGAACAGTGGATTAAGTGGGTAACACGCCTTTCGGTGGATTTCGAGTTGTAATCGCCGGTGTGCAGGTTGTGAGATAGAGACAGACTGATAGACAGATAAAAATAGATAGAACTTAATATCCCCATCTCATCAAGACCTCCCTCCTCTCCTCTGTCACATCCCCCTGCTTTCTTTACGTTGTGTTTGATGCCTCGTCTCTTCTTCTCACTGCCACACCTTTTTGGGAGCGCTGTTTGACAGCGTTACCCTCTCTAGACTGTACGTTTTTAGCCTGTATATCCTTGGACACCTACCTGTGGTGAAAAAATTTCGCCCAGTAGCGTATAGGCCTCACATCAGCCACTTTAGTCTCCTTCCTCCTTCTCTCTTATGGACTGACAAGGGGGCTTGATAAACACCTCTTTCTTTGATTGTTCTGAGAGTGGGATGTCGACTTGAAGGAATATGAAAGACCACTCGTTTTGCTCTGTCTTTGCTTTTGTGTCTCAACTCTGCTCCTCTGTAAAACATCTCCACTACAGTCTATAAATTATGTGTTACAGAAAAGAGTTAATTAGGTGAGTAGTGAATTAATACAGCACCCACTTCTTCTCTGCAACTGAGTGTATGCAAATGCATGGACAGCTGGTGTGTGCACTGAACGTGTGTGTGCGTGTGTGTACAAGAGTACAGCTAATCTAGCGTGCATGAGTGTGTGTGTGTGTGTGTGTGTGTGTGTGTGTGTGTCCATTTGAATGTCTGCATGAGACTGATGGCAATGTATTGTGCATGAACTTTAATCAGCAGGTTCTCTGCAAAGAGTGCTTTTTATATTTTCCACCACATTTGCTTGTGCTGCTAAACCTTTCTTCACCCTGCTGTGACTAATTGGTTGTTTATCAGACCATGCCTTTGATCTTTATCCATTTTCTATATATATATATATATTATATCTAATGATTTCACGCATTATCACGTCTCTCAACAGCACTTTTGAGCAACAGAGACTTCTCACTCGAGGGCGATTTCTTAATAGCAGCAGGAACCATTTAAAGATTCTCCGTTACTTTGGTTAAATCTCGCCTCGTCAGCTTACATCAGTTGACTCACTCAATTAGTCCAGTGCTGTGTGCAGGTGCATGCGTTTACATGCGTTCCTTTTAGCCCTCTTCCTCTCCTTATTCTGCATTGTAGTTGGTTGAGCTTTGTCAACCAATGCTTTGTGGCTACCCTCCTCCTCCTCTTCCTCTTCCTCTTCTTCCTCTTCCTCTTCCTCTTCTTCCTCCTCCTCCTCCTCCTCCTCCTCCATTACGTTTCTTCTCGTCTCCTGATCGATGGATCTGCAACCGATCTCCAAACATGACTAGATCTCTGGGAATGAATCACAGATCTCATGTGCCTCACACACAAGCTTTACTGGATCCGGCTCTTCAGCATGACCTTAATGAGCACACAGCACACATATAGATGACGAACGAGACGGTGGATAGGTGATCCAATGCTGTTCTAGCTTTATCTACAACCAGAAGTCTTACTCGGTTAATAAACAAGCTAATCGGCTAAATAGCGAATGAATAATGGCATAATTACTAAAGATGATTAGACAGAATGACAACAAACTTTGAATTGTTTACACGTAAAAAGCAAATCCTCATGATGTGATTTCAATCAGTCAGGGGCTGACTTTCAGAACACAAAATACTCAAACGTCCTAAGGCATTTGCGCCATTTAGCTGTCACTTAATATTTAAAAGTATGCAAACAAAACATAACAAGGGTCCTATGGCTGCTTCCTCCTTACATATTCTCCATGAACAGAGTGCAGAGTGGGTCCCTGCCCTCAAAGTTTCAAGTTGATTTCTAAGTACAAACAGTCTAAATGATTTAGGACATCTTTAAAAAATAGCAGTGGGACGTTGCCTCGCTGCGAGCGCACAGTAGCAGTTAAAATATAAAGTCTTAAAAGGGCACGCTCACCTCTTGGGTTTCAGGCTAATGAAGGATTTATGTTGAAAAGAGGAGTCGTTAAGATACTCAGCAAATCAAGAACTCACAAGTTGGCTGATTTCACATCATAACGGTTGCGTCCTTAAAGCAAATGAAACGAAAAATATGAAGAAGCTTAATTTGACACACACTGTGGCATTTTGATAAAGTAAGGAAGTAAGACACACACACACACACACACTTTAAAACCTTTGCTTCAGTAAAAAAATATGACTCTCTGGAATAACTGGCACCAAACAACAGTATTCAACATTTTGAAAAGCTGTTGATTCATCAAGCTAGCGAGGGAACTACACAAACAAACAAGCCGTACTCAGATGTTTTCTGCTAAGGTTTATTTATGGAAATACTGTATTATTCCGCATGACTCAAGCTATCAGTGTCATGTTAATACGACTGTGAGACTCAGAGATAATTAGACTTTGAAGGAGTCAGAGAGAAAGATGGATTTTAGTAAATAAAATTTGTTGAATGAATAATTCATCGCACTGCCAGACGGGATTAAAATTCTACACATGCAGATATCCTCTGACAATTTTCCTTAGGCTAAATAGTGTATACCTACTGTACATATCCGACTTCCTCAGATAAACACACACACACACACACACACACACACACACACACACAGACAGACGCATCCCTATGAGCATGTACACATTAAAATGACAACTCCCTTGATCTGTCAAAGACTAAAAAGAGACATTAGGCTGAACATACGTAACTGTGGGTGCAACTAATACTTATTTCCAGTAATGATTAATGTGATGATTTTGTCTATTTATGAATTCATTGTTTGGTTTAGAAAATATCATAAAGTAGAGAAAAATACCTCTCACGCTATCCCAGAGTCCAAGATGATGTCTTAAAATGTCGTCTTTTGTCCGACCAAGAGTCCAATCTTGGTTCAATCTACTTTTAGACGAATAAACAGAGAATTGTAAAAAAGAAAAATTAAATAATCAATTATCAGAGTAGTTGCTGATTCATTTTTCTGCCAGTTGACTAATTGAATAATTGTCTCACCATTTCAGCTCCATTAGAGATTACAGTGCCAGACCAAAGTTATGAGTTATCTAATTCTACTTCCTTCCTTTCTTAAACTGTGAAATCCATTGAAGCTTTAATAGCAGAACATCTCAAGTAAATAATCACAAATGCTACTTTTTTTTTTACCCTCAATCTGCTTTTTCACATTGGATTAAAGCAGGGGTTCATAAACCTTTCTTTTATCCCAGGGTCCCAAAACGGTTTGTGAGACACAGAATGACCCTAATTACCACCCTCTGCATTAGCCTACTACCCATAAAGGCACAGATATTGAGCTAAGTACACATTTAAACAGCTCGCATGTCAAACCTTGTGAGATGATTAACTCCAAAACACTTTTGGGGAATAAGTGTCCCAGTAACAAATAATGGAACCGGTGCAAGAGAGGGTCTGATTTTAAAATCTGTGAATGAATAAATAAAATCAAAAAAATAATATGGATAAAATCCATCACAGTGCATGTGGTTTTATTTGCAGGGATCAAATAAACAGCCAATAAGCCATAAAGCAGGTGAATTGCAACAAGTGCCCCGATAAAACCAGAGATAATAAAGGGATTCATGATATGAACAGTAAAAAAATCTCACTTTGAATCAGGCCCCATATAGTTTATGAAACACAGGATTAAAGCACGGATAAAACAAAAGCGCTGTGAGATTCTTCTATGGATAAAATAGCACCCTAATATTATCAGACAACAATGTTCAACACAGCAGCCTGACTGAGTTAAGCCTTGACCTCAGAGCCAATTGACTTGTGTACCAAGTGGCATTCGGCCTTCACCAACCACACACCCATCCACTGTCGTTCTCTGACATCTGACTCTGTCCTTCTCGTCTTCTCCCCTTCAGACTGAGAGAGAGGAGAGCGCAGAGCGGGCCGGAAAACTGATCACCATGAGCGGCTAAAGCAAAGCGAAGGCAAGCAAAGCCAAAAGAAGAAGAAGAAGAAGAAGGAAGGGAGGGAGGGAAAAAGAAGAGGAGGAGTACGTGCACACCCACTGCTGCTCATCACCTCATCTCCACGGCAACTGTGTTCGCACGCTCGCAGACTTCTGGGAGGAGACCTTGGCGTGCTGCATCGGGGGAAAGAGAATCGGATGGAAAGGGACGAATGAAGGAGCGTCCCTTCATCACTGCCCATCTGTTATCTTTTTAGTTTATTTTATTGAGTTCACACTGACATTTTTAGTTGATGGTCAACTTTTAAAGTATTCTAAGATCTGAGTCAAAAGCACATTACAACAGCAGATTCCTCTTTTTTGGCCTCTTTATGTGTAAAAATCATTGTTTCTAAGCAATTAAGTGTCCGATTACACTCCAAAAACAGTCACCTTCACCCTGATAAAGCCCCAGCATCGCCCACCTCCACCCTCACTCAACCCAAGAACCTCTCGCCCTGCAAGACCCCCCCCCACCTCAGTCTTCCGTGCGTGACTTCATCTGTCTACCATCCCTTTATCCGAGGCTATGAGAGGAGGAGTCGAATCCCAGATCACTCCATCATGCCAGTTCTGAAGAGCAGAGAGGAGATCCGGGCTGGCAATGTTCAAGGTAGGCCAGTGACTCCAGCTCTTGGATTGCATTTGTTTGGCTGTGATCATTTTCCTGAAACTTTTTCCCCTCCCAAAATCCACTCACTGCTTTGTTTGCCGAGGTCAATTTCAGCAGAACTTTTGCGTCAAACTTCGTGTTTTAAAAAATGTCCTAACCTGGGCTAATACAGACAAGTTTTTTTGATTATTCACCCAATGTAGTCTTTAAAACGTAAAAAATTGTGAAAAATGCCTGTCGCAGTTGGAGAGTCCAGGGCGACGTCTTCAAATTGCTTGTTGGGGAATCGGTGGCATTTCTGCTTGATAATAGATTATTAAAACTGCAAATTATTTTTCTAAAAATTGATGAATCGATTAAGCAATTCAGCTCGAGTCCTAACTATACCCTAGAATATAAAATATTCAAAGTATCCAACAGTTATGTCCGTTAATTCAACCCTAATTAAACCGCAGAAATTGACTCACTCGAGATAATTACTGGTCAAATTAAACATCAGAGGAGCTGGAAATAATTGAAACACATCTCCAGATGTTTCACGTTGGATATCAGGTCATACACTATTTAGTAATTTGTGAAGACACCTGGCGCCTCTTGAGATAATAGCCTTAAGGATCTGCCTCATGGTTTGTTTTGGTAAAGTTTAGGCAATGACTGGGCTTTATATAAAGAAAGACAATATAGATATTAACGCTCTGAAGCCCAAGCACGGGACGTTTTTTGCTCCTGTCACGTTTCATCTCTGTGGCCTTGATTTCCACAATAAGTCCTGCACCTCTATGGAAACAGCACAACCATGGCTAGAAATATAGAGAGAACTCAAAATGTGCAGCATAACACAGTTACAATACCATAAACCATAAAAAAACGCAAGTTGAATTTCTTTGATAATTTAGTATCATAATATATTTTGAATATATTTATTCACATTTTTACATCCTCTACTTCCAGCCTCTCCTTAATGCACTGTGCTCGCTAGTTGTGCTTAGAAATGCAGAATTTTATATTTTTACCAGGATCTGGTTACTTCAAATGGTTTATTTGGATTTCAAATGAGACGTGTAGAATAAAATGTTGCTGATGAAATATCACAATTTTAGGTGGCTTTTTCTGACTGAAGCGTTCCTCACGCATGATGTGTTCAAGGACCGTCTGAAAGATGAAAATCTGACGATAATGGCGGTTTTCACAGCTTCCGGCTATGATAAACAGTGTATTGACGATTGTTTAAAGAAAACAGGCCTTTTCATCAGGTTAAAAGGTTAGAAGGAGTTCACTGGGCTACAAAATTTCGTCACAGTGGCCCTACACATTACTTTATAGTCGTATATTCTAGAAATTGGCTCTAAACCAGGATCTGTATGGGAATGATTTTTAGTTATTGAGTTTGACAATTAAAGCCACAGTAAAGTGCACAAAGCTGTCTGTTTCAGTGTAAGTGGAGAAGCTTTTGGGAACTCTTGATTTTGAGCAAGACAAACAGAGGACAGGATAGAGAAGGATGAAGAACATTCATACTGCAAAAGAAGAAAGGACAAAGGGCCTTTTTTTCTACCCGCTGCGCTTTGCGAGGTAGCCCAGCGTTGAGATAACGGATGACAAGGCGCCGGCTTCAAAAAGCCCGTCACAACGACGCGCTGGTGCAGCTCCACAAGGGGGAACAGGCCTAGACAATAGTAACCGTGTAAAGAATGGCGAAGCTGGAGCCCATCTATATTGCTGAGCTTGTGCTCCTTTCAGCAGCCGCTCAGGAGTTTGACTGATAAAAAAAAGGCACATTCACTGTAGAAGTTGCCGGGGTGGGTAAAGATAATGGAAAGACTTGTCCAACGTGACAAACGAGTACAAAGAGAGGAGATGTAAAGTAACATCAGCTCAAAAGGCGACATTCAGGTGTGAGAATGAACTTTTAGACCGGTTAACAGTCATTTTCATTGTGTGAGGTTCATTGAGTGTGTGTGAAGATCTGTTGCAACTCAAAATCCCACGTTCTGTCACAGTGTCCTGCTGCCGCTGATGGAGCAGGTCCAGGATCCGTCTCTCGGGGGCATCGCTGATTAGATTCCTGGCTGGATTGAGTTGATGCTCGCAAATCTAAAGCGGCGCTCACCGACTCACAGGATCAGATGTGGCTCTCTAGTCATGACGCGCCTCTGTTGTCGGAGCGTGACTTGGAGGAGGCGTGTCACAGCTGGCGATGTCCCTCCTTCACAAACACAGCAGCTTGAACAGCGAGCACACCTGCCGCACAGACACTGCGCCCCACACGTCTCCAAAGTTGGGTATTGGCTGACACTGCAGGCTTGAAATGGCTGCATGTAATCTGTGTTTCTAGGGCAGATTTTCCATCTCAAAAAAGAAAAAAAGGAGTGTAGGGAGAGAGCATGACAGAGCAAAGGGTTAAGGCGTGGCAGACAGAAAAAAGAGACAGACAGGCGAAGATCCAGGCGCAGGCGGTAAATCCAGAGGGAGCTCCACTGACAGTGGATGAAGGAAGCAGCTTTGTAGACAGATGTAGCTCCGAGGCCCTGGGAGGGGAGTGCTGTGGCAGCGTCGTGATGCTGCATGTTTTTTTGGAGAGTGGGTTGGGTAGAGGGGGGATTACTGGATCCTGAGCGTGGGCTCTCTTGTCCGTAAACCGCGAACAGAGTGGCGGCGGTGAAGTGCCACGAATATCTATATAATAATAATCGAGACGCCAGCGCCGGGACTCACAGACAGCCGGCTGACTCAGTTTTGGATGCAAAGCCTCATGCGACCGGTTTAACAAATGTTGATTGAGTCGTTGAAGGATTACAGGTGCTGAGCAGCCTGGTGCTGTTTATTGTTTACTCAGAGCCAGAGAGAGAGAGAGGGGGGGAGGGGGGGAGAGAAGCGCAAAGTAGTTACACAATGTCTCAGAAAAGCCTCAATCATACATGCATTTTCAGATTTTTTTAGCAAATGATTCACAGCACGATCTGAAAAAAAGGGAATATTACATTAACTCAGCTGTAGCTAAAACGATGTAATCTAAAGTAGCTATTCTCGACTACCCACTGGTGGTTGGCAGAGCGCCATCTAGTGGGCCGCAGAGTCACTGCCAGATGGTCCGAAAAAAACAACAACTATTAAATGGTAATTCAAACTAAGCATGATTTCAACTAAAGCTGACATTGTCATATTTACAGCCCAGTTTAGGTGGTCCTCAGAATTTCTTTATCAATGCGATGTGGACCTTAAGTTACAAGAGGTTAAGAACACCTGCTCTCAGGCGTTGGATCAACCAATCAGCTTGCTTGACATGCAGATGTGTGAAAAACGATTGCCCTAGTTTATTGAGTGCAACATGGGCATGCAAGAGGTCACATGGACAGTTCATTTTGCGAAACGCGCCCATAGCTAGAATACAAGACACGGCCTGTTGCACTTATACTTTACATTGTGAATTTTGAATTCTAACAGATGGTTACAGATGTAATGTGAATTTCCATCTAAGTATAAATGGTAGTTTAAAAAAAAACCCAAAACAGTCCAGACTGAGTTTAATAACCTGCAAACCGAGTATAGCTGCCATTCCATTTTTCTGTCGGAGACAGAAGCTCAAGATGTCTGTTCTACCGCTCCTCTTCCATACCTAGTCATGTGTGACTGTGAGAGAAGGAGGAAGAGCTAAGAATAGAGAAAAGGGGGCCCAGCGCTGTGATGCCGCCTCTACCCACGTTGCTCATCTTCTCGGTGTGCCGTTCTGTTGCCGAAGTCAGCAGGCGTTCAACCGGTCTGCGTTGATATCTTGTTTGTGCGGTCTCCGCTTAAACTGGACACAATGCAAACGTGGAACGACTGCCACATAAGTCACTAATGCAGAAACGAAGCTATCGAATGGCGATCTGCCATTCACCCTGCATGTTCGCTAATAACACGATCAGAATGTCTGGGTCTGGCACATGCAGACATCTGATCAGAAACCGTCACACTTTTTCATGTCATGCCAAAAGGAGACCTTTTGAAGCTCTTCCGCTGACAGACAGGGAAGAAAGATGTTCTATAATACTTCAGACGGAGGGAAGAGACCGATAGAACAAAAAGACAAGATCTACCTGCTGGGAAAAGGGTGGAGGTGCGGAGGTTAGACGAACTGATGGAGGGGTTTGACAGCTGAATGAGATATTTGATGACACTGTTCTCACATCAGGACTCGAAAGAAATCTTTGATTCGAGAGGATGATGAGATGATGATTATGTTTTCAAAGAGCGAGAGGGAACTGTTGAAAGAAAGAAGGAGAACAAAACATATTTAGAAGAAGTAATGGGTGTGTAGTGCTACTGATCAACAGAGGCTTTAAAGAGCTTTAAAGAGGAGGACATCTTGACAGGTTCAGATCTTGTTGGCAAAGTAATTCATTTTTGTAAACAGCAATACAGTGATACTACCTGTTGGAAATAAGAGTAAATTTACTGTTTTTATTTCCATCTTTTGTAAAGGAACCATTAGAAAAACTCTAGTGTTAAAATCGGATTGGGTCTTGTTGATTTTCCACTACCTTTTTTGCAGCTGACCCGTTCCAGCTGTCCATGAATCTGTCTCCATTTGACCCTCAGTGGGGGCAACTTGTCAATTAATCAGCAGTGACTTGAGACTTAGGGGTGGGTTTGGAAAGCAGACGTCTGCCGAGCTGAGGAGCCCCTCCAGGTATAGACTCCAACAAGAAGGAACAACACACGCTCAGTGGGGAAGAACTGCTGTTCTTTCTAATGAAGCAGAGGAGCAGGTGATCAGTGAGACAGCGGCTGAAAGCTAGAGCAAAGCTCTCAGGGGGGTCAATTGTAAGGTGAGGAAAGAGAAAAAGAGGACGTGTAACCATCCGTCTGGGGCTTTGTTGCCACATTTAGGCCTAAGTGAAGGGCGGTGTGCAGGCTTATATTACTGAGATTTATTTGTGTCGGTTTCAGTGTGTTTGGATCTTGAAATAAATGTTGCAGCTTTCTGTTGGATGTAGAGCTGAGATGATCAGAAAATT